CTGTTTTTATAGGGGCATTATAGTGACAGTTGCAGTATGGAGTGTATAGATTTTGAAAAGTGGATCGCGTACGGTAAACAGTTAGACCTCGAGGGCGCCGAACTGAGACAATGGATTAAGGAGCAGCAGGAACTGGCGCAGGCCAGAGAAGAGCGGGCACGGGCCCGGGAGAAAAGGGAAAAAGAAAGGGAGAGGGAACGCGAAGAAAGGGCGAAAGAACGAGAAGCGGCAAGGAAAGAAAGGGAGAGAGAGCGCAAAGAAAGGGCGAAAGAACGAGAAGCGGCAAAGGAAGCTGGAGAACGGGAAGTGCAGTTACTGCAATTAGAGATTCGCCTCAGTGAGGGTAGCAGGGTGAGCCGATCCAGCAATGAGCACGGCGATGCCGGCGAGGAACTGTCAGTTGAGCGAGACACATGGTGTCAAGGGCTACTCACGGGTCTGCCTTGCGAGGCAAATGAAGCTGTTGCGCGACTCGGTCAGCAGAACGCGAACAACTACGAGGTAGTTAAGGCAGAGATGCTCCGGATGTTCGGAACTTCTGTCTCGACAAAAGAAGAGCAGCTCAGACAAGAGTCTGAAAGAAAGCGCGAAACAGAAAGACAGCAGTCTGAAAGCGAGGCGCATCGGAAAGCACTGGACGTTAAAGTGTGGCAGGAAACGCCAGAACCAGAAATCGCGCTAGAAAAGGGCCCGCATATTCTCGAATGCCTCCATATAAATGATGTAGAGAACGAGGCCTTGGCCGGTCTCGAGGTAGAGACAGTATCAAAAAAACGGTCCTAGCGAGGATGAGGTGTGTGCCAGCAGCCTTAATGGACTCAGTAAGAAGCTGGAAACCATCCTCATGCCTCGAGAGGACGTCTCGAGATCGTCACATGCAGATAGGGTTAGCACAGTGGCGAAACACAGCGAGAACGCGACGCTTCAGGAGTGCAGCGATGCCATCGGAGAGGGTCCAGTTAATGGTTTCATCAGCATTAACAAAGATAATTTGGCCCGGCAGTCCGTCGTGACACCGAGTTCAAAATGTTTGAGCGTGGGGCAAAATGTAACACAAGCTCCAACGAGCTTCCCGACTTCTCAGTTCCCGACGCGACTTGATGATGGCATCAAGAGAAAGGGGGCAAGCAAACATCGCCGAAAACGAAAGAAGCGGAAGCGCACTGCGCTGCGCAAGCCTAGGACAGGTCCCACTCAGTCGCAAGAAAGACGAAGGGGTAGGCATTCAATCAGTTTCAAGGAACGTCAATGGTGGCGTTCAGGGAAGCACAAGCGGCGAGCCAGGTGTAGAGGGAGGAAACGAGGTACGCCACCCCAACGCAGCGTGCGGTTCAGTTCGACAAATTCGGGAAAGCGGCCTTTGCCGAAGGGTCAGAGTCGAAAGGGCAGAGTGGCTAAATACCGCATAGGGGAGAACACAAAAGAAAAATGGCACAGGCTTCCCCCCTGCTTCTCGTACCCCTTTCACATTACCGAAGAAAGCCGGCCGAAGGGCAGAATGAGGCGTGACGGCAAAACACAGCCTAACGTTCGTGTGTTTAGTAGCCTCAGGCCTGATGGAAAACCGCCGGGACCGCGACCTCATCGTGTGCGATTCAAAAGAATCTAGTTGAGAAAGGGGGAACGGTCAGTTCTAGTAACTTTTGCACAGGCGTGTTAAATATTGTTACTCAGTTGTACGCCAAGATGTGTATTCAAGTCTTTTAAATTTTGTAAGTTACGTGATGCGGTGTAAATTTTTCAAAAGGAAAACCGCCGAGCCAAGGGCTGAAAGTTAGCATTGAAGTTAGTTTAATCATGAGTGCGAAAATTTGCATAAGGTAAATTGATTAAGATTGGCGTGACCCGGTACAGTTGTTGCGCGCATTGAGAATTGAGGTCTATGAGCATGTTATTTTTTGTTTCCTTTCGTCGGTTGTTTTCTGTTGGTATGAGCGTATTTCATTGTATAAGAAGTGTATTTTGAGTTATTTTCTTTTTGCTTGGTGCATTGGTTGTTTTACTTGTTGTAATGCACATTGAAAGATTGCCCTACAGTTGAGGAGCGCACCTGTTCCGTTTTGTTTCGTAGTATACATTCGTGCAGTGTATTCTGTATTGATGGCTGCCGTACACGGCTATTTCCTCTTCTTGTTTGTATTGCGCCTTGATATTGTTGCGTGTAACTGAAGCTGGTACTCTAACAATTTGTTTTTTTTGTTGTTACTTTGAGGCACTCTGCCTAGTTATGTTATGTATGAGAGGGACAGCCCGCATGTCTCCCTTGTTGGTGGTGTTTTGTTCCTTGTTGTCGCAAAAATTCCCCTCCGTGCGAACAAATGTTATGAATAACATTCTGAAAGTGGGGGGCAATGTCACGGACGGCTATTTTCGTCGACACCGCGTCACGGCAATTAACGGGCGCCGTACTCCCCGACTGACCATGAGAAACGGCGGCACATGAAAGGGAACCGATAAATGCAAAATGGGGTGCTCTCCTTAGAACGTCGCCGCCGACAGTTAATCCTTTTGTAACTGTGGCGACGTCTGCAAGGTCGTAGAAGGCCGCGGTATACCCCGAAAAAGGATTAGACTACAAGACGCCCGGCTGAGAGCTAAGTGGTTGACCGTTCCCACGGAGAAAAGCGTGGGAAACGCTCTGGTGGCCAAGCCGTATGACAACAACCCGACAGGTTGTCACTCTCGCTAGTTGCGGGCCCTCTCCCTATTAAAAAGGGGTGGGGTCAAAATATTTTTGGGGCGGAGTTTCCCATCAATTAAACGCGCATGATTGGACCCAGGTAGAGGTCTCTTGTCCCCAAGGAAGAGAGCGAGAAGACACGAGGGGGATTTAAGCGCAGGATTTTGCCCTGCTAGGCAGACTAGTCGCTGACCAAGATGGTGTAGAAATAGATCAACAAGCATCTCTTCTAGAAGTTTTTAGTGTGGCTCTGTATCGGCTGGCCACCTAAACTTAGCCGTTCGTCTAGTTGTGACGCGATCTTAACGTCTGCAACGTAGACATCGGGACTTCGCCTCGAGTTAGCTCAACCTGCTCGAAGTCACCTGCAAGCACTAGCCTCCCGGAACCACCAGCGTTGCAACACCGCCGACATCGCAGTCGTGCCAGAACTCTCTTCGACTTCTCGCATCCGATCGTCGGGGACACAACGCTGCCGGTTATCACACGTATGCCTTCACCTGTTTATATCTTCGAACTTTCTCCTGCGTCGTTCTATTCTTGTTAGTGTGTGTAGTTTGTAATAGTTCTCTCTCGTTAGCTGATTTATTGTCTCTGTTATATATTTCTTTAGTTGTATCAAGTGTCGAAGTATTTTGTTAGTTGTATTGAAGTGTTGTATTAAATCCCGTGTGCTGCAATATCACTAGAGTAAAGTTGTTTTGTTTTCTCACGTCTCTGATCTCTTCACTGTCTCTGCTTGCGTACGGAACGAACCAACCTGCTGTCATTCCCGTCGCCGACTTCGCGCTGGCGACGCTAGAGTGGCAGCTTGTAACATACAAGAAAGACAGAAAACAAAACAATTGAGTTTTCAGAAACTCCTTAGCATGTACATATGATTCTATCATGCATAGGCGATGTATAATAACCATGGAGGACTCGGATAGTTCCGTTCTCCTATGGTTTGTAGGAAGTGAGAATCAATTTGAAGTACAAAAGTGTTCAATAAATTTTTGTGAGTGCCTGTAACGTGTCAAGCTATAGCACGACTGAAAGAAATAAGCTTTGACGTGTCGATGTTTGTTACCATGAGTTGATTGAAAGAAAAACTTTAGTCTTGCTTGTAGTGTTAATACACGAACTCTAGTTAGTAACTCAGAGGGAGATTCATTACCTTATATTTATTATAAGGAAACTTCTCTGCCTTTCGCTGCACCTCTTCAATCCTTGCGATGAGTTGCTTTGCATACGGAAAGCGAGAAATATTGGCGTGCTCCAACGCATGGTATAACAAGCATTTTGTATGCCAGCAGCTTTGCATCTGGTGCCAGATAAAGGCGTCTTCTTAAAAATTACAGCATATCCACGGAGTGAATGATGATGAGTGGGGCGAAGCTTCGGACCATTTTATCGGTAAACCGTGAATCCTCCGTCCATCCGTCCGTCTATCTGTCTGTTTGATTGATATTTGGTGTTAAACTATCTGTCCGTCTGTCCGTTCGTCCGTCCGCCTGTCTATCTATCTATCTATCTATCTATCTATCTATCTATCTATCTATCTATCTATCTATCTATCTATCTATCTATCTATCTATCTATCTATCTATCTATCTATCTATCTATCTATCTATCTATCTATCTATCTATCTATCTATCTGTCTGTCTGTCTGTCTGTCTGTCTGTCTGTCTGTCTGTCTGTCTGTCTGTCTGTCTGTCTGTCTGTCTGTCTGTCTGTCTGTCTGTCTGTCTGTCTGTCTGTGATTCAGTGATAATGCTTCACTGTGTTCAGTCATTGGTTTTCGGAGCTGGTTCAGTGACCATGGCTCATACGCAGTGCAGGGGAATGGTCTTGTAGTCAAGGATTTTTTTTTGATATCTATACAGAAAGTTTACGTCGTAGTTTTACCCAACTAAATGCATGCTACGATGACAACGAAGAACCCTCCATCCACGCGACCATGCGTGATCTCGCGGCGCTCCGCGCGGTGCCTTGTGGGATCGAGCGCGCGGTGCGTGGCTACGCCTCCCGAGTGCCACTGAACAATGGAGCCGCTTTCCCATTGGCTGTAGCGTCTGCCCCGAGAGCGCGCTCATCCCGTGGCGTTTTCCCATTGGTCGATCGCCCCCAACCCCACCCCCGGGTTGCGAGCTTAAGTGCGTGACTTGAGCCTCAGCCCAGTCCAGAAGGAGCTCGTTCGCAACCGGTGCCAGCAGGTCCCTCGCTGGTACGCTTCGCTCCACCGGCAGCCGCCCCCCACCCACCGAACGGTCCCGAAGGCAGTTGTCCCCCCCTACCTTCCATCGTAATCTGGCGTCGCAAACACGGTCTTTGGGCCTGATGGAGGCTGTACTGCTTCAGAGACAGCCTCGTGGACGTGGCAGAGGTAAGCTCTTTTTGTTTCGATGGCGATCCGCATTTGATAGTGGTGTCTGGGACAGCCGGCATTATTAGTACGAATGTTTACGAGGTCAAAACAATTCTCTGTATTTCCGATAGAGAAGGGCGGCGTATGCACTGTTTCGCTGTGACAAAAGGCGGCTTAGATATCACGCTCACGTGAATTTTTCGCCGTCGCCATGACGTCGTCACAACGCTCCCGAGCGTCGTACGTTTGTGGGCGAGTGAGGGCACCGGAGATAAGTGCATCCAGTTAAGGGAAAACGCGACGGTCGTGTATCGTCGCTCGAAAAGACTCGCGATAGGTTCCGGAAGGGCGTGGTTAGGACAAGGACTGAGTCACTCGCTTTGATCGGCCGGGAGTGGTCGAGCGCTTCCCAGCTTGACGGGGATCGACAGAAGGCTACCATTCCGCGTGTGGAATTTTCGCCTATGTTTGCTTAAAATCGATGGACAGCACGAAGGCAGCTTGGCTCGCAGCCACGTATCCTCGATCGTATCGCGGTTTTTCCGCGCGGCGCGTTGCGTTATCGGGCGCCCGGTGCGTGACTCTGCCTCGTGCGGTTGGCCGTAGCGTGTTCCATGACAACGACCGCATTTCCGGGGCGTTCTCCTATTGGGCGATATCCTCCGGGGTGCGAGGCTCGAGCTGCCGAACCCTGCCTAGAAGGGGCCTGGTTAGCCAGATCCAGTTATGCCGGAATCTGTCTCTGGAGTTCGTCGCTAGTCTTGCATACCTTATTCTACAGTTATCACGGCTCACTTGTATATCCCACAATGGAAAACCCGTAGATCACCAATGTCGCGTCTGCATTTACATGTCGTCCCCGCTGTAGCCGTAAATGGCAAGAACACCACAGGTCGTGCCTTTGTTCCAATGCATATGCTCCAATGAACCTGACCTGGACCTTTAATGTCCTCAGTCACTACAACTGAGACGGCCCGGGTTCTTTCGTACACCACACGCAGATGTCAGTTTCATGAAGGCGATTCCAATCCCTTCTTGTAGATGTTGCCCAATTATCATTTTTTCATGATATCGGTCATCCGAATCCGGCTGCTGCATCAGTGGCCTAGCTGTGCCCGCACGTGGCGGGACACTTGCCGCACCCAAGTGGTGGGCGAAACAGTGTATCCGAGACGCCCTCTGCTTGTGTGTGCGGCAGGTGTCCCCGACACTTGCGGTGCGGCAGCTGAGTGGATAGCGTGTAGATAGGCCTTTAAAACAATCTCGGGAGCATGAATTCGTTGATCGGAACACGACGACTCTCGCAGAGTCGCGAACGCCACCTATATTTCCTCAACCTTTCTCTTGAGCCTTGCGTTGGTAGCGAATCGGAGGCTGCTCCTTCGATTTCTTCACCATTAATGATTTGTCTCCCCGCCCTCCCTTCGGCCGAAGCCTTTTTTCCTATACTACATAAAGAAAAGGACACTGGCCACGCTGATGACCGATCATTTGTCGGTTACGTTTGCCTATCAAAGGCGGTGCCAGCGGGGGTGACGGGGGGGGAGAGGAAGGACTGGGGCTTCCCAAAGTTCTGCCGGCTTCTCGCCCCTCCCCCCCAAAGAGCAAGCAAACCTCTCGACCCAGGGTACCCTAGAAACCAAAAAGAAATCCTGGAGCCGACGCTGTCACCTATCTTTCTCTGTTATTAACGTAATTATCGTGTCTTTTTACTTCCAGAGTACGCAAAGGAATATAATGCCAGCTGTGCAGGGCTGATGGTGATAGAACTCGATCAGGATAAAATTTCTCAACGCTCACTGGCTCCTGTCTGCAGCTTGCGTAACACAGCCAATCGCGATAGTGAAATTAGGCTCGATCGTGACTAGTGACGCCGGTATAAGTAATAGGTGCTTGTGGAGGAAAGGGCGAGCTGCCATCCCATTGAGAAGTAATGGGAATGGCGGTATTACGATGGGGCGTAGCTGCTGGAGGAACACAAACAAGTGCTAGTGACACCACAGCACAAATAGCTAAAAACTAGGTCGGGCCCTGTGGGTACCCCGAAAAGTAAACATGCGCGCGAAGGTCGTAAGTCAGTAAGCCAGAGAAACGGATGAGAAGCTTTCGTGTACATCCTTGCCACAGCCGGGAATAACCTGCTCAGCATCGCGTGTAATCGGGGAGCATTGGGAGCATAAACGGAGAGTTTTCATATTCCCAGTGGGAACGGGGTGATAAAAAGGCTACCTTTTTATCGCTACTCTGCAATTCCAATTTCAGTGTCATGAAAGGAAAAGGAACGGGCATAAAACGTCCCCTCTAGAATACCTTCACGACAAGGTGGCCAACAGTGCGGTTGCGTAAGATGAGAGCCTAAGCCAAAGTCTGAAAATATAACCCGGGCGCATGAGAGGGGTTGGGGGGGATGGGGCTTTACTTTTCATGATGCAGCCCGGTGGATACCCGACCCCCAAACCCCCCTCCCGTACTCTTTACCTATTACTGGGGAGGAGGCCGTAGGGCTGCAGTGGACGTAGGTGCCAACCCTATTTTTCAAAGTTTGGCCACTCACACGCCACGAGGAATCGTTATGACGTAGATTAAAGCTTAGAAACACAACACTCGCAGTTCACAGCCGCGCTTGTGAAAGTCTGCACGTATTCCTATAAGGTTTCAGTGTCCAATTTTTTTCTGCCTTTAAGTGCAATGACTTCTTAGGTGGAGAAACAATTGGTGTTTCCTGCAGTGGCTGCGGAGTGCACCGCCTCCGAGCTTCGCACCGTGGGGCGACCGGCGGTCGTCCCGGTGGGAGGAGCCGCCAACGGCCAGGTCCCCCACTCCAATAATCAGGGCCTTCACGGCAACGGCCAGGTCCCCCACGCCAATGGCCAGGTTCCCAACGCCAACGGTCAGGTCCCCAACGCCAACGGCCAGGTCCCCCACGCCAACGGCCAGGTTTCCTACGCCAACGGACAGGTCCCCCCCGCCAACGGACGGGTCCCCCACGCCAACGGACAGGTCCACTACGCTAACGGCGCCCCCCCTCAGCCATCGTTCGCACAAGTCATCTCGAAGAAGGTCGGCGTCGCGGCGGCAGTGCCGCCGTTCTCAGCGCAGCTCCTGCCTTGCACCACGGCTGCTGCTATAGTGCCACCTACACTTACCATGAACGGCGTGACCCACGGCGTTGTCGTAGGCGCCACAGCCGACGGGCCCTGCTGCGTGCCTCCCACTGAGGAGGGGTCGATACGTGACTCCCCGCCACTGCCCCAGGTGCCCGGTGACGTGCACCCAAACATCATATGCGGACCCAGGCAGAGGTCCAGCGACGAGCTCCGCCTACAGGTGAGCATAGTTTTGTAAAAGTTACGCCATGAAAGAAGTCTGCCGCTGGTGAAACTGCAAGTGCATTCGAGAGTTTTAGAACAGCGCTACGCAAAGCTTTGCATTCGCGTCGCAAGCTACAGATGACAATAGATTAACCACACGAGCTCCGTCTACAGGTAAGTATAGTTTCGTAATAGTACTATAGCAAAGGAACTCTAATCTTATTAGATCATTCTAAGAACAATGCAATGTATTGCGCTTGCGCTGCGTCGCATACGATCACCTCGTGTAGGCTCCCGTTCTGTGACAAACGCTAAAACTACGCCCGCAAGCTTTGCGTACGGTATTCGAAAGCTCTCAACTACGATCTTATTTTATGCACCAAGATTTAATGGGATAGGAAAGAAAGTAGGAATTGCCTTAATGCCTATGTATTGAAACTAACCAAAAGCTTTTTTTCTCGTAGCGTGAAACCAAATAACGTGTCTTCTTCAATCGGACATCTTTAAGATAGTGCGGACTATCGAGGATCAGGAAAAGCTAACAAATGCGTATTGTATGCACCCCGAGATTTATATTGTAAGCACCTATCGCGACACTCTAAGCCTACGAAATTGGTTTAGCGTGGCTCTCAAAGACGGTGCCGAATCAGCACGCACTCTGTGTGTTGAAGCTTAAGGACATGAATCTAAAGCAAATAGAAGCGCAGCTGCTTGATAAATTCTATGTGGGTGACAACTCCTTGCGGCAGTAAAGCCTTGTTTTTCTCACTCAATGATCGTTATTCGGTGGTGCCGTGGAGCCTTTGTAACTTAGAGATGAAAACGTCATCCGTACGAGGCACAATTGCATCATTTCTTCCGCCATTTGCAGCTTACCATACCCGGAAGGGAGATTTATTTTTCCGGTATCATAAAGCCACATTAAAATGGGCCAAAATCACTAGGCAGCTCGCAGTTCCAAAATGCAAGGAAGCCTTCAAGGTAAATTCTTCTGACATGACCACTTCTAAAGTTCGTGAGGACACACAACGGGTTCAGAACGTGGGCGCTACTTATGGATTCGCAAGAATTTGCGCTCGACAATCGCACATAGCGTTGACTTTCTGCGGGGAACTTGTGAGCGCTTTTATCGGGACGAGAGATGAGAAATGGCTGATCGCACCGTGCTATAAATGTCCGCTCGAACTGTGAGAATTCGGAAAATTTGTGCGGTGGTGAACTCGTGAGGCAATAAGATCCTTTAAAGAGTCCATTTTAGGGCTTCTTGAAGAAGTGTTGCGGGACCCCTTTAAGGTAGTTCACTGCCTGGCGAATATATCGCTACAAAAACTTTGTCTGTTAAGTGTGTTACCGAGATTTGTTGTGTGCTGCCATCGCTCTTTCTACGCTCGTCCCGACTTAGGTCCCTAGATTTATTCCTTCTTCGGGTATAAGTACTGAAAACCATCGATGAAAGCCGCATTGATGAACGTCGCTGGCTAACGCTTGTTTTCGGCAGTCATGTTCGTCCTAACGCTTTGGTAGCACCTGGTTTAGGAGTGCGCCGCTCAATAACGATGGCGGTTCGGACTGGAGGTGAAAGGTGTGTCGCGTCCGCTGAAAGATGCCTGGCTAATGCACTTAGACATACAGTGTAAATCTTCCAAGTTATGAAGAAACTGGAGGCACACACCGGGGTCGCGATCAACGGCAATTAGTCCCGATTACCGTTCCGGAAGCAAAATGTTGCCGGTAGGAACCTAAGCATGAAGGGATAGCGGGGGGGCAAGTAAGTTGTGTTACGGCCACGCCCTGTTGTCGGCAGGGCAGGGTGGGTGAAAAAGGAAAACCTGTTCCCCCTCAAGCCTCACCCAGCACTTGCCCTCACGCAAGATGCCCTCCACCATCCGACATGCTGACACGAGTACGCCCCCCCCCCCTCCACGAGAATATCCTGTCGGCGACCAAGTGCACTGCTCGCTTATTTGCAAAGTAATCGTATGCGTGCCGGTCACTACAAACGGCCGTCGTTCCTGTCATCTCACGATCCCGCAGGAGATCCAAAAGACACTACCGTCCCACTTCCCGCGTCGACCCGCCCAGGGAAAGCTCGGCCGCCCCATCCAGCTCATGGCCAACCACTTTTCCGTCGAGATTCCGGCGGGCAACGTGTATCACTATGACGTTGAGATCTTCTCCGAGAACAACAAAGAGGCGAAGATACCGGAAAAGCGCAAGTACCGCTGCATTAGCACAAAGATCAACAGACTTGTCATTGAACAGCTAGTCAAGAAGTACCGCCTAGACTTGAGCAACTGCGTGCCGGCATTTGACGGCCGAAAGAACCTCTACACGCGTCGGGAGCTCAAGTTCCGCGAGCGGACCTTCGCGGTAGAGCTCGAGGAAGACCAGAGGGTGCAGAAGTTCGTCGTCAAGATCCAGTACGCAGCCACCGTGAACCTGGACGCCCTGCACGCAGTCTTCGAGAACAAGGTCAACACCGTTCCGCAGGAGGTCCTGCAAGCCGTCGACATTGTTCTGCGTCACGGCCCTTCCATCAGATTAACTCCCGTCGGCCGCTCCTTCTTCAAGCCGCCGCTTCCGAACCAGGCGCACTCTCTTGGGGGCGGTCGCGAAGTGTGGTTCGGCTACTACACCAGCGTGCGACCGGCTCAGTGGAAGCCCATGCTGAACGTGGACATGTCGGCCACCGCGTTCTACGAACCGCAGCCGGTTATATCGTTCATGTGCAAGATATTGAGCGACGGACGCCGCGAGATGACCGCGGCCGACTTCCGCGACCTCCGTGACTTTCAGAATGTTCGGCTCAACAAGGAACTCAAGGGTCTGCGTATCAAGGTGAGTACACCGCTGTATTAATGGGGCTTGTGGGTGATCAAGGAGATTTTGACCCCACTCTCGTGTTTCCTCCCCCTTTCGAGGTAGATATCGAGTAGATATGTAAATAACATAAGCATAATGACGAATGGTTATCGATTAATGGGTATAGATAGATATCCAAAGCCTCAGAGGAACTGGGATATCCCACAATTATGCTTTTACAATATGTAAAAATGGTACCTACGAGCTTTGCTTTTTCCAGTGGCAGTATGCAGAATCTACAGTTGTTACGGGATTTAAAAAAAGACTTGTGAAAATGCTGTAGAGCAAGGTCTAGCTATGTAATGGCAACGTGACGCCACTATATTCCAGCTAGTTGACCAACATTTGTGACGTCGTCAGAGACTCTGCTTAAATTCTTTGAAAGCGTGATTTTGGCGTGATTGTTTTCAAGCCCAAAAACAAAAATAACCAGCATGGCGACATGATGTGGTCCCCTTTTGCATTTCTTGTACTCAATTACTACTCATTAGGTGACCCACCTGCCCTACCCTCGGAAGTACAAGGTTGTCCGGGTCACCAAGGAGCCCGCCAAGAGGCTGTTCTTTGACATGGAGGACGGCTCCCGTTGCTCGGTGGCTGACTACTTCCAGAACCGCTATGGCCGCCTAGTTTATCCGAACCTGCCCTGCATTCAGGTCGGAAACCTCGCGCACCCCGTCTACCTGCCCTTCGAGGTGTGCGAAATCGTCGAAGGCCAGCACTGCCGGAAGAAACTGGACGAGAACCAGACCTCGGAGATGATCAAGCGAACCGCTCAGCCTCCGGCCAAGCGCTTCAACGAGATTCGCCAGTCCGTCCGGGACCTGGTCGGCAGTAACGACCAGTGCCTGCGCGAGTTCAACATTAAGATCAGCACCGAGCCGACTCAGCTGAAAGGGCGGGTGCTCGAGCCGCCGTCCCTGGTATTCGAGAACAACGCCGTGACCAAGCCTCGTGAGGGCACCTGGGAGCTGCGCGGCAAACACTTCTTTAAGGCGGCCTCACTGACGCGCTGGACGCTGCTCAACCTGAGCCGCTTTGCTCAGCGGGACAGGTAGGTTTCTTTGTTGTTTTCCTTTACCTTAAGAGCTCACGGGCAAATGCGAGCGTACGGAAGTGGTTCAAAATATGCCACATACTTCTCTCAGCCTGCCCCGTCATGATGACATTAGCTCATCGAAGGTTCCATTTTTTAAAAGATGATAGTCTTTCTTGGGGTCCTCCGACGCAAAAATTTTAATCCATCTGTCTATCTGTCTGTCTGTCTGTCTGTCTGTCTGTCTGTCTGTCTGTCTGTCTGTCTGTCTGTCTGTCTGTATGTCTGTGTTTCTGTACAATTGTCTGTTTGTACGCCCTTAATGATACCTCAAACGGCCCCAAACGGCCAAACCCATCCGCAGTGCCCACAAATAGTGCTCAAGCTTTAGCGTTCATAGTTATGCGATTGTCGTATAAAAAGTAATTATTGCGCATATCTGAGGCGCCATAACAACTTGTCAATGTTTTGTATGTCTGCCTTTACACTAGAAGAGGCACACACGTCACTATAAGGAGTGAAGCGTTTATCGCGCTGTGCTGACAGTGCAATGTGATGCTCAAAAGGGTGTTTCCAACGCTTCGCTACGACGACACGATGGAGGCACCTACCCGTCGCTTTGCGTTCTACACCTGATCACCACCGAGACTGGCACGCATATTTCTCCGCGGGCGCGCATGCCTTCTTTTTTGAAGATAACTGCCAGATGACGCTCGTGTCTAACGTGCCTCGATGAGCTCGTTCGCCTTCGCTACACGCTCGAGGCACTCTAACGCAGCGCCTCCAGAATACCATTCACTGAATTTCTTGCGCAAAACATCAAATAAGCGCTTTTTCACCCTCTCCAGACGCAAGACTATCGTCCTTTGACGACATTTGCAGTTTAACATGCAGATTCGGGCCATTTTTTTAAAGGCAAATTTTCACACAAATCTGTCATTCAAGTCCTCGCGAGAACGGCAACTTACAGACGTCTGAGAGACTAGGTTAGGTCATTTTATATGGAGTTATCTACGCAGTAGGGCTGGGCAGTACCTCAATGCAAGTTTGGTGGAGGATAGCATGTTGAACGCCCACGACTTTGCAATGGTGGCGAATGGCACTAACACTGTATATGTGGTAAAAGTGTTTGTTGCTGCTAACGGCGGAAGTGCCAGATACGATTTCGTCGGCTTCTGCCGATTTCTCGCTGCCACTCGTAGCCGGTGCACCCTTCAAAAATCCCAGTTGACGCGGGAGAGGTGTTGCAGCACTCTGTCTGTACAGATGGTATTGCTCTTCTCCGGCATGTGAAATATTCTTTCGCAAATCTTGTTTTCAGATAAAACCACTGCGGTCTGACAACCATATTAAGAAGAATCAAGCAACCGTGGCATTTTCGGCTAGTTCGCTAATTGTTGTAGTAGCCAAAATCATGGCAGGAAACTTCCGCTAGCTAGAGGGAGTGACCTGCAGCCCAATCCTGGGATAAATCCCCTATCGATCCGCGCAGTCTAGCATACTTTTTCATTGTTCTGGAAGCCGAAATCATGGCAAGTAATTGCACTCTAGCTAAGGAGGCTTGAGCCACCGCCCAATCATGGGATACATCCCCATCTATTTGTGCAGTCTGGACAATTTTGTCAAGTTGCTGGTGCGCACGGGCAACGAGCTCGGCATGCGCATCGAGCAGCCGGTGGACATCAGCTCGGCCGACACGAACCGCAAGCCGATCAGCACCATGCTGCTTGAGGAGCAGCGCAAGGTCCCCAACATCGAGATGGTCATCATCGTCCTGACCAAGAGCACGAACTACGCCGAGATCAAGCAGGTGGCCGAGACAGAGATCGGCCTGCGCACCCAGTGTGTCATAGACAACAACGTCATCAAGAAGTGCAACCCGGCGCTGGTCACCAACCTGTGCCAGAAAATGAACGCCAAGCTGGGCGGCACCAATAACAGCCTCCTGTCCCAGGAGAAGCCGGCTATCTTCCTGAAGCCCATCATCATTATCGGAGCAGACGTCACTCACCCGGCGCCCGGGGACAAGCACCGCCCCTCCATCGCTGCCTGCGTTGGCAGCCTGGACTCGATCCCGTCCAGGTTCCACTCTTCCATTCGTGTCCAGATGGAGGACTCGACGGCCACGTCTCGTGTGGAGATCATCAGAGACCTGAAGGACATGATGAAGGAACTGCTCAAGGCCTTTTACCGGGCCACCAAGCACAAGCCTGAGCGCATCATCTTCTATCGGGACGGAGTGAGCGAGGGGCAGTTCATGGAGGTCCGCAACCGGGAGGTGAGCGCGCGTGGCTGTGGCCGCCTGAAACAATGCTCGTTGGTACTTTTCGCATCGTAATAGACATGACCGCAGCTGGCCCATATATTTTAATGTGTAAAAAGTAATGAGGCTGCCACCTGCTTTATACCTATGCCTGCACGGTACTCGCGCTTCTATTTGCTTTCTTGCACGCCTGTTTGGCCTCATGCCCTCGTTTCGTAATCGATACGGCTGTCGTCGGCGTGATGCCAGGGCCTGATCTTTGTAATTGATATGACTGATGTTCGCTCTGCAGTGTAATCGGAATGACTTCGGTCTTTTAAACATCTAGCCCAGGAAACAAACCGTCATTTTTCCACCTTTCTGTCGGCCATTAACTACCTGTCTGTCGTCCCTTTCTGTGCGTAACCTCAGGTGAGCGCCATCCGGCTTGCCTGCCAGGAGATGTCTCCCAACGAGACGTACGAGCCGGCCCTCACTTTCATCGTCGTGCAGAAGCGACACCACACCCGGTTCATGCCCGCCAACGACCGCGACGGTGTCGGCAAGTGCAAAAACGTCCCGCCCGGCACCACCGTCGACTCCGTGGTCACTCACCCGCTGGACTTCGATTTCTTCTTGTGCAGCCACTTCGGCATACAGGTATATGAGCGCGATTATCAGTGCCCATGGTCCCACGCAGTAAGGAAATGATATACCGCATACAATGATCGCTACAGTCGTGGTTAGACCCTTCGGCGTAGCTTAGCTGCCTCTAGGGTGTCGCGCTGCAAACTCCAAGGCTCCAATACGATAATAGGCAGAACGATTCCCGGCCAAGGTCACGCATATTAGCTTACTCTTTAAAGAACCCCCGGCTCACGCCCAACAACGTACCTCGTGTGGTTAAACTCCCCCAATTACCGCCCTTTGATTAGTTTTTCTTGTGATACTTCCATGCACACTTGCTGAACGCCCAGCCATCTTGGTTTCGTAGAGGTAAAACACGATTGAGGCGAAACATCAATACGTTACTATGAATCAGTTTGTTTATTTCATTTATTCATTACGCTTTGCTAAAAAAATTAACACAGCTCTGCCAGTGCTCTACCACTTCACAGAAACTTCCCTTTCTTGACATAACTGCCAGGTGGCGCCCATATCTCGTTGTGCAATCTCTCCAAACGGAATACTGTAGTCTCTCGACGAAGACCTTAGCATCGAAGCGGGCAGACACGCGACCAACTTTTCCCAAAGTCATTTTGCAATCTTGTCATTTCTTTTTTTTACGCACCGACGCAGGGCACGAGCAAGCCGTCCCACTACTACATCGTGTGGGACGACTCCGACTTCTCGGCGGATGACCTGCAGAAGCTGAGCTTCTACCTCTGCCACACGTATGCCCGGTGCTCGCGCAGCGTCAGCATCCCGGCTCCGGTGTACTACGCCCACCTGGCCGCGTACCGCGCCAAGAACCACGTGATCAGCAAGGTTGACGTCTCCAGCTCGAGCAGTGACTCGTCCGGCGGATCGGCCGACTCGATCACCACCAGCCAGTACGTGCAGGCCGTCAAGGTTCTCGACAACCTGCAGACGGCCATGTACTTCGTATGACCGTCGTCCTCGGGTTCCCGGATCAGGTTTGTGGAAGCTACGATTTTTTCCGCGTATTGATCATTATCATCAGCCGGCCACTGCAGGCAAAGGCCTCTCCCATGTTCCGCCGTTCAACTCGGTCCTGTCCTTGATACTCCCACTTGATACCCGAAAACTTCCTGGTCTCATCTGGCCACCCAACTTTCGTCTTTTCCTCATACGCTTGCCTTCTCTGGGAATCCAGTTAATGACCAGCGGTTAATCCGGCCTACGCACTCTATTTACGTGCCCGGTCTATGTTCATTTCTTCTGATTTCAACTGATATCCCACTAACCCCGGTTTATTCCCTGATCCACACTTCTCCGTGTTAGTATAGTACAATTTTCCAATCCCGAAAACGCCACGTTTATCCACAACACGATGCTTACTAAGCGAGAAAATGTTGGGGGAAGCAATGAAGGAAATAGAAACGCCGCCTTGAGATTATCTGCACTGCGACGTCATAAACTTTGAAGGTGTTTACTGGATTTAATATAGCTTTTGATCGATAAAATTAAAAATTGTAATATGTATCGCCATCAACCCGGCATACGAAGTTTTGAAAACTTCATCAAGCTAATGTCGTGAAAGCGTGAAAAATACATTTTGAAATTGCTGACTTCACCCCGCCGCGGTGGTCTATTGGATAAGGTACTCGGCTGCTGACCCGCAGGTCGCGTGATCCAATCCCAGCTGCGGCGGCTGTATTTCCAACGGAGGCGGAAATATTGTACGCCCGTGTGCTCAGATTTGGGTGCACGTTAAAAGAACCCCAGGAGCTCGAAATTTCCGGAGCTCTCCACTACGGCGTCTGTCATAATCATATGATGGTTTTGGGATGTTAAACCTCACATAACAATCAAATTTTTGCCTTCACTCACGGGGATTAATGCGCGTAATTTGAAAATGAAGCTGGCGCTCCCCGATTGTTTCTTAACGATTTCGGGGCATTCGTGCATTCAACAGCGCACAGTTTCTGAAACTAGTCGGGTCTATAGCTCTTCGGTTCCCAGATACACCCACAGAAGGCGTCAGTGCCGCGGTCGTTGATTGAGTGTGGCTATATCCACCCAGGCATAAATGTGGTCTATCACTCTATTATTGAAGTGGCATTTTCTATCCGGGGACGAAACTTCGTCGCAATGGAGTGATAGCTACCAAGGCGAGGCTTTCCTCGGATCCCTTTTACATCGCCAGTAGTACGGCATCGTGCGCCTAATTATTATTAGGACGTCAACGCACTTAGAAAAAAAATCTGAAGTAAAAATTGCGAGGGGAGCTGATTGACCCATATGTTTTCCTTTGAGCATTTAGTGTTATCAACACTTCGTCGCTCAACAACTGCGTTTAGCCGGTAAGATTTTTGTTCACCGCCGTTTTCGCTAGAGGGTACCTTGACTACGCATCATTTCATGTATTTTCTCCTTCCTTTCAGGATTTTTTTTTTTCAGAACATCTGCGTCCGAGACGTTCTTCTGGAGCCTTCCCCCCCTTTTTTTCTGGAGCGTTTTGGCGGTTTTTGTTTTTGTTTTCCTTCGACAAGTCTTTTTTGTTTTGTGTTGAAAATAAAAAAGTGTTCCTTTGATAATGTTCGTTCCTCGTATGCTTAGTACATTTTAAAGGCTACTGCGCCTGCTGTCGTCTTAGTTCGTACTGCTACCTGCACTCTTGTTCCACTTGCGCCCCGCTGCGGTGGTCTAGTGGCTAAGGTGCTCGGATGCTGACCCGCAGGTTGTGGGATCGAATTCCGGCTGCGGAGGCTGCATTTCCGATGGAAGTGCTGCTCAGATTTGGGTGCACCTTAAAGAAACCCAGGTGGTCGAAATTTCCGGAGCCCTCCACTACGGCGTCTCTTCATAATTATATGGTGGTTTTGGGACGTTAAACCCCACAAATCAGTGTTCCACTTGCCAATTGCTCCAGGCAACGGTGCCATGTCGGGGAGAATGTGGCGTTCAAGCAGGGGCGTTGCCAGGGGTACCGGGCCCGTGCCCCCCCTCCGAAATTTTATTTCGCAATGACATAGAGTGAAAAATACCTATTCAAGAAGGTGCCCCCACTAGAATAAAAAAATGCTTCCCCCCAATTTCCGCCAAAAAAAAATTCCTGGCTACGCCTGGCGTTCCAGTGAAGACTTTGAAGATATCTTCCGAGGTGCGGACAGTGGAAACGACAGTATGTACTTCAATTGTATCGTACACATAACGTACTCTATGTACCATACCATACGTTTTATGGTCAAATTTAAGAGCCATTGACGAGTAACATTAGCTAACGCTCGTTTTCGGCGTCGATCATGCTCCCTATACGCTTTGCCAGCACCTGGTGAAACGAGTGCCCCACTCGCTAGCGACAGAGGTACTGACCGGAGGAAAAAGACTCTTCGCAATCGCTGAATGATGCGTGGCTAATGTAAAATGGCAGCAGACACTGGTTGTGTGTGAGGGGGGGGAGCAGGATGCGTGGCTAATGTAAAATGGTGGCAGACACTGGTTGTGTGTGAGGGGGGGAGCAGTGGTCGGTAAGGAGTAAAACTTAGGGACTACAGTAACCCTTACAGCTGGGAATTTTACCCCATTAGTCTCGTGGCGTGAATAGCCCGCTGCACTATGTCTGTCTGTCTGTCTGTCTGTCTGTCAGTCAGACATGTTTGACATGGCTGTCTGTCTGTCTGTCTGTCTGTCTGTCTGTATGTCTGTCTGTCTGTCTGTCTGTCTGTCTGTCTGTCTGTCTGTCTGTCCAGAGAGTTAGCGGGAGTTGCCTACTTGTGTATGAAGTCCTTCGTCGCAGCCAGCAAGGATCTCACAGGACAGGCGAGGCCCTGCAATAATCAGGGGGAGTGCGCATGTACTCTGTTTAAACACAGGGGTGTGTTGTCAACTCCTCTTTTTCAAGAGTACATGTTTGTCGCCTCACGAGCATTTATATTGCAAGAATGACACACTGCGGTCAACAAAGGTCATACGGCCTTCGATATCAGCTTATGTTATTCATTAGAAGCAGAGGTATTGTCTTTGTCATCAGTTTTTGCTATCCAGAGCAAGCTGTTGCTGTAGAGCCAGACTTGGATGCCACATCTAGGGCACTCCTCAAATACGTCGTACCCTTTGGTGAGTTCTCCCTGCCACACACACCACGACGGTCCAGTGCATGTTTATGGTGTTGGCCTGCTGAGTCAACGATCGCGAGTTCGAATCCCAACCTCCGTTGCCGCATTTCAACAATTCTCGAAGCCCTGGTGCTGTGCGATGTCAGTCACAAGATGGTGAAATTTTCTAAAGCCATCCACTACGGCGTCTCCGATGATATTACCATGGCTCTTGGGCATAAAACACTACCCGTCAACTGGGAAGTTTTTTATAGCGCCAAAACAAGAATCGTCATCCAGCTTGCTCACGCTTGTTCAAGAAAACTTTGCTCCCACAAATTCCCCGTCCGGAATCGTACGCCAACTACATCACGCTGATAGCGCGCTTGTTTTCGTGCTATCTCCATGGCCCGCAAAAGCTGGGCACATGCAGATAACACGAAAACGGGCACGCGAGATCTATGACAATAATCGTTGCTGGCCAAGAAGACATTCCTTATGTTACTGTAGTGCTCTGTTTTTCGAGCTAAAATAACTCGAGAAGAAGCTGCAGTTGTGGTTGTTCGTATTGCTGTCTGACAACCTTAGTTTGACCACAGTAAACCGTTGTGGGAAACACAGGCTGGAGTTACCGATTACCGGTTCCTCCCATTTATGTTAGGCCGAAATTCGCGTGGATGTGTATGCTCGGGGCAACTTGCGAACGTGGTGCCCGTCAGATTTTACAAACTGTGTAATACCTTCGTTGCGTCGCCACAACGAACATGGGTGGTACTACAGATTGCCTCCGCCTGCCATAATGGGAAACATCGCCGGGAAGGGACGTGAGTCTCATTAAGTATTGCGTTTTACGTATACGAGCCGCACGCAAGTTGACTTTTAACGTAACAACGAAATTATTTAAACGTGACTCAGTAATTCAGAAGTTGATGGTGCACACCCATAGTACAACTAGAACAACAATAGTTCGGCACGCTCACACAGTTATAGTTAGCAGAAACGGGCAAAATATGTGTTTTCGGTTCTTGTATTTTTTCCCCTGTGTGTGCTTACGCGTACGAGCATGGCGCATAAGTTCTTCACTAGCAAGGTGACCTGAAAGAAAAAAGTTCGCCGTTCCTGTTGGTGCACGATGTGCCGCGTCAAGCTCAATCAGGATGAGATCCTATAGCGTACAGTCGGTCACACAATATGCCACCCCACGCGAGTGTGTCAGCAAAATATCGTCTCTTGCTAGAGCTATGCTTTTGCGGCCTGCTTCGTGTGCGATGCCCGAAGAAGGGAAAGCGGACGGACGGAATCGGACTTGTCTGGAGCGCGTGGCTGTTGTCCGCAGCTGTTGCCTCACGTTAGCCGCAAGCTTCCAGTCATGCTTATACTTATAGATGGCTTGCACTAACGTCACTGAAACAGTCACATTGGTGCACCAACACGGAAAGGACGCAGACTCTGCGATGTCACATCAGTGTTATCGGTGCACCGCATGCTGCAGTTCTTTCATTATTCCCGCACAGAGGCCTAATCACCTTCCAGTGATATCGCACTGAAGCATGTTGTTGCGTGATTGTACTGCCTTGACATAATCGAAGCCGCCATGTTGGTGCAATGTTTCCCGTCCATGACATCACCTGCAAACTATCTGTAACACAATGACCTAGCACGCGGTACGACTACGTTATGTATCATTACGGCGTCGGTATTGACATACATCTTTGAAAAAATGGCATTTGAAGCGGCCGGCTGGTTGCTTCAAAAGTGGGATTCCGTCTGAATGAACCGAGCACCGTACAGTAATCGCCGTCTCTAGGGTGGAGGCCACTGGAGGAGCGGAGCGGGCGAGCGGTAAAGGCCTGACTCATGGTGTAAGATAGAAACAGTTCTTTGAATCTTACACTATGGCCTGGGCGCAGCTTTGGGTATACCCGCGTGCTCTTCAAAGGGAGAGGGTGCGACGCTGCATCAAAAAGCCACGCGTTGACGATCTGCAGAGCGTACGTGTAGTTAGGCGTGAAATGGTGTGTGTGTGTGTGCTTGCGGTGGGAGGTGTGTGTGTGTGGGGGGGGGGGGTATGCATTTGAAGCGTGTCGCTTCCCTTACATAGCAAATTTGTGGTAATGAAGGCACGAGACAGGCTCACAGTAGTATACGAAGCGCTAATAGAGGCACGACAGTGAGCTGAGTTGATATACATGGTCGAGCACGCATAAGACAAACTCATCGTAAGTTGTCAAACCGGTAAGGTTATAGCATTTCTTCTATTACACTAGATGGATGCCCGTTGTATGACCTCTAATCATGGTGTCTATAAAATAATTTTTCCGGTTATGTTTAGACATAAACGTCTCATGATTTAAGGCTCTGTAGTTTTGCTGGCACGTAGCGCCACCTGTCAGCGCAGTTTTGGGTAGTGCAAAGCCCGGCTCGTTTGCACAGTGTGCTACGTAACCAAGTACAACTATAGCAAGGATGAAACAACGATTGAGCTAATTAAACGTTAGGCGTGGTTGCGCATTGGGCATACACTTGGAAAAAGAGCCACGAAATTCTCTCTGCTAATCAAGCGCGCTATGGAACCGCCATGACGTGCTTGCTGCTTAACTCGCTAAGGCGACGGCGAAAACAATAGCAGACGCAACAGCTCCGTGCTCTACAAAGAAAGACCACAGTCGACGCTTCGATGTTATACTGTTGCGTTGTGAATTGCCACGGACGCAGGGGACTTCGGTTTTATCGAGTTCCCTATAGAAGTCCCAAAGCAGAACCACGAGAGCGCTGGATAGGGGCCGTTGCGAAGGTGTTGGGTGAGCGAATTTCCCGCGTTCACCTTATTTTCTCTCTTGTCATAACTCATGAAAATTCACACGAGAATTCGCTCCAATTCTGTAAAACTGTTATTGCATGCACATTCAAAACACACGCGCATTCACTTAGAAGCTCCTACACCGCCATTTTGATTTTTTTTATACAAAGCTAAGCTACCCCCATCTGAATCTTGTCGGACCATCTTTCACCGAGGGGAAATGTACTTTTTTCCCCCTCGAGTTCTAACCCTCGCGAAAACCTAACTTAACCTAACCGTTTCTTCGTTACAGCCAATATCACCGCGGTTCTCGCGTTTTCGATCTCGTGGTCTAAAGATAAACGTCATTGAAATGAAGCACGTTCGACAAAGGTGCGCATTTACTTTGCTATAACCGATAGTTTCCAATGTCAGTATTAGTTACAACGAAGTTTCAGTGCATCATCTTTTAGCGAGCGCTCCAGTCTTTCACGGAAGAATAAGTAAGGCGTCGAGTTGACAGGTTTCCAGACTTTTGCATTTTATTCGTTCACTGCGAAAAATATGCAAAGGGCAACGTATCGTGCTAAAATAATGCTTTCGTGGTGCGTGGCAGAACACCGCGAAAGAAGCCGCGTTGCTTTGCGCTCGACAACAATATTGTGCACCGTGGCGCGTCGTCCACCGCGCGCATGCGCACGAGAAGTCACGTGACGCTTTCGTGCGTATCTAATGGCGCATTCGGGTGGTCGTTTGAGAGCGCTCTGACCGTACTCTAAAACGGTGAACTGAACACCCTTTGCGGCACCGAATTTACATCAATAGATGTACGTTCCTTGAATGTAAACATTTGACAGAAGTCGTTCTGGTTGGGTATGAAACTGGGAGATGATTTAGACTCCAACCAAAAGTTTTGAAAAAGCCCAACGTTTAGAGACCGACTTGGTTCCTTCCTAAGGGGTGACAGCGGGGGCTACGTAGCAGCGGCGTCGGCAAAGCACTCGCGGGATGGAAAACGACCCCCCCCCCCCCCCTTTTTTTTCTCTCTCGTTTTCTCGTGGAGCGCAGTCCGTGTGTATACACTGGGGGAAGAGTTCCGAGAGAGCGGTTGATGTTATGGGCTGTCCTCTGTATGTGCCACGACTCGAGTAACATGTACGTTCCCCATCATATAGATCCCTCCTGGACCGTTTGTGGATGGAACGCAGCTGCAAAATTTCACGTAAACAGCGGTAAAGCAGAAAAAAGTAAATAACGAAATAAAATATATCTACAACTAGAACAAGCAAGTGTTACAGTCATGTTGCTCATTGCTTATCACGTGGTTGCGCACTCATTTCAGGAGTGATGCTTGCTTGCTCTTTTACATCAATTCTTCGATAACAATCAGAGCACTGTGCAACAACCACCCGAATGTATCGTAAGTAGTTATCGCCTAGGCTCCAGCGGAGCGACAGAGTTCTTCGATGACGTAGCGTATCTTGACCAGTGCTGCGTCTACGTCATCCGCGTCGACGCCGTTGTAGAGGACTGCTCGCGCCTTAGTCAGCCCAATGGGAATCATCTTGACCGTGACGGCCTGCTGGAGGTCTTCGTACTCCCTCCGCGTCACCTAAAATGAGGTTGAAAGAGAATAAAAAAAGTGGACGACTTGCACAAGTGGTGCAAGCTAAGCTTGTGGCCGACCTCGCTGCTGTCGGCTTCCACAATTCAGATTAAGGCCTTGATAGGTTTGGCTATAGATTGGGCTTGACATTGGCTGTGGTGGAACGTGTATATTGCTCGGCGAGGTGTCATTGTGGCGATGTTAAATGAACATTTCATTAGTGCATTCTTCACTCGGTCTTATCAACGTTACATAAATTATCTAGTAGCTAATGAACGCAGTAATAAATAATGTTTTCTTAATTATCTTGATATTAATTAGCAAGGTGGACGAAGAGTGGACGAAGAGAGCCCACAAAACGAGCAACACTTCACGGTATAGGCCAGTAATTAAGATAGTTTCAGTTCGCGTGGGACCCGCCCACGGTCCTCAATCACTGAAAACTTGGGGTGACTTCTTCAGAACATCAATAAAAATTAGTGCCTACCTACCTACCTACTCTGCATGACAGAAAAAAAACTACGAGCTTACTCACCTTCGCTGTTTAAAAAAAAATTGAGCCCTTTACTAGCTGGGAAAATGCCAAAACAAAGCGCAGCACCACGACGCGCACAGGTTTTGTGCCTTTCTCTTTCTGCATGGCCATCGGCAAGGAGATGCTAAAATCCACACATCATGAAGGTGAACCATGACAGGTGGGCGAAGATATGGGTATCGTATGGGTGAGTAACCATGCGTTACTCGAGCGCTGACTCATATGAATTGGGCAACATATAGTAAAGAGTCGACGACAGAGCTAGGTTCTAAGATCCGTAATGTCTACGTTGAAGAAGCCGACTGGTATAAAGGGTTTGTGCTTGTGAGTGCTTTATGCAGTTCCGTCACTATCCGGATTTATATAGGTATATTGTTAAAACTTTGTTTTGTTACTCTTTTACGCATCACCCCATGACAACGGACACTGTGGATAGACAGGTTCCGGCACTAAAATGCTGCCTTCTGAAAATCACTTCTGAAACACAAGCATCTCGATGTTTCCGAATGTGGTGTCAGGGGACCTTTAACGTTTCTTTGTCTCCCGAGTAGAAGTTTCATTCTAATGCAGACGCCTCGCAACAGTACTTGTCGAAGGATCAGTGCAGTTTACGTTTCCGTGGCGACCCACTCGCTGACTACAGGCTGTTCGAAGGCTTGGTATGCCTATAGGAAGTGGAAGACACCATGGCAGTGGCAAAAACGAGAAGGGACATCACGCTCACCAGTCCTGTATTCCTCGCTTTCTGCCGCGCCTTTACCGACTCTCTTTCGTTTTGAACAGCAAATCAACTTGCCCCAAATAAATATTCCACCACGCTGCTGTCAGTGAAGGGACTACAAACCTTGTTGAGACGCTCGCAGAACGCGACGGGAGACAGTTTGGCCGTGTCCCGGAACTCGTAGACGACCATGTTGGTCTGCACCGTCGTCAGGTCCTGGCCGATGAACGGGTTACCCTGAAGACTGACGCCTGCGAAGGATTCGATTCACACGGGAGTGCTACGTCCAGGTTAAGAAGCGAAAACTATGCATATTAGGCGGCCACGATTCCACATGTGCCCAGAATGTCAGTGTCGCGTGCACCATCGTATGTACCTCTGGCGAGTCTCTGTGCGTTGTCGTGGTCCTCGTGCACTCTGGGCACCATGGTCTTGAGCGCCACGAGTCCGGCTGCCGCCACGATTCCCGCCTGGCGCATGCCCCCACCGAGGCACTTGCGGGCTCTTGATACCCTGCACGAATCACACACTCTTATAATTTGCTACAAGAGCTATTTGCACACCATATATGCGTCAGTAAAAATGGTACACTCGACGTCAACTTTTATTGACAGCAGTCCGGGAGCTATGGAACCGAAGCGCATGCCCGCTCTACGCCCAGAAATCAGCACTTTAGTGTACTGATTATATTTACATCGCACTTGCTGGAATATATGCTGCTGTATTTGTTGTGAGACTCAAACAGTAGCGGAAAGACGTAGGTAATGTACACTTATTGTTGACTTTCCAAGAATATCTTCTTCTTTTTTCGATTTATTGGACAGCATAATCTTAACAACACGTCAGTTTTCCCAAGCAAACACGGCCTCCATGACGTAGTGGGTCAGCGTGCGGCCTCAAACACGCTGTTTATTTCTCCAAGAAAAAACATACTCGTGATATGACACGACAAAATATACAAGAAACCATCAAAATGTTTCTGCTATTCACATTTTTCGTGGTGTAATTGCCTAGACTCGCTAACGATGCGAGCGAACGAAACTGAAGTCAGCCCCAAGCGGCCGTACTAATTTCGGAGGAACGGGAATGTGCGGAAACCCCGTCTACTTGGGCTTCGATCCACTGTCAAGATAAGTTGTCGCCGAGTATAGCAAAAGTGTATATTCGACGATTCTAACAAGTGCTTTATGCCGGGGTTCACCAAGACTTCAGTGACATACTTCCGTGACGGAAATGACGTATCATTCATTACAAAGTCGAATACAATCTATAAGCATAGAATATAAATTATGGACAATCTCCCCAAAGGGCAGAAGCAGCAGCAGCGCGCGCGGCGTTGACCCGGTTGAAACAGGCGTCGACGCTGGTGCTGGAAGAACGGTTTGAAGCGAAACTAGGTGTAGCGTTCGTTATTTGAAACGCAGACACGGTAGACGGGTTGGGTTTTCTGTAGGTTTAATCGCAGAAAGACTGTTTGCTTGATGTGCACTCGAACGTTGCGAGCGGTGGAGAGGGTGAAGGAAGAGAGCTAGATGACACGCAGCGACAGGCTGGTGAGAGAGTGACGTCAACGCATGCGCACTGCGAGGGAAGGCGTGACCTACATAGCACCGCCCCAACACCTGCGGCTGGGATAGCGAGGGTGCGGACGGAAGGACAGCGTTACACAGGTTAGTCAAATGGGTGCTTCGCATTTGAAACTTTATATAAAATACAAAACGGTGGAATATATATACTAAACAGCACCACGTCATTGCACTGAAACTTCTTTTTTTTTGCGACGAGATTTCTCGGCTAAAAAAGTGGACAAAAAGATAACCTGCCACCGATGGCAAGTTACCTTTTCATCCACTTTTTTCTTCCAATTAACATTACAATTACTTCTAATAACGTCCACTATAATTTCCCTAGTTTTCATTAATGTTGTGTCTAACAAAGAAAACAAGCCCTTAACTTTAAACTTTCCTTCATGCATAACAGAACCAAAGTCATTTACCTGTTAGCCAACTAACCTATGTTCACTTGTACTCGTGTCAAAAGTCGCGTATTGCTACCGTTACGCATTGTTCTCTTACGTTCTAGTGTTTGTATAACAGTACATGACATAACGGCTCTCTTCTCAACACCTATGGGAATTACCAGGCCCTGAGTTTGTAACATAACTGATGGATTGATTTGAGAGCACCAATTATTACAACTCTACACTATTCTATACACCTTATCAAAACGGCTCCCTGTGGACCGCCAAATTCTTTGTAGGCAGAGGTCAACACGTGTGACCCCCACACCCCAAAAAAAGAGCACTTCCGGGGTGACGCGACAGCTGCTGTACTCCCGTACCTAAGTACAGAAAGAAGATGCTGTCCTTCTCAGTCAAAAATGTTCTAAACGTTTTTAACTCAATAGGTAAAACACCTTTCTGGACAGCGGCGCGGGAGAGCAGGGGACGACGTGACTGGCCCTGACGAGCGTTTTCGGGGAGGGGGGGGGGGATGGGGACGTCACGTGTGTTGACCTCAACCGGCGCTGCCTCAACCTACAGGGAATCATGGTGGTCCAAAAAGAGCTTCATCTGGAACGGTTCATACCGAACGTCACGGAGAACGACATTAAAAAGAATGAGGGAAATACTTGGTGCGACAGATGCACGAGGCGTTTCGCGATGCAGTTGCACCCAGCTAGGTGCAACTGCATCGCGAAACGCTTAGGAGTCAGTATTTTCAGGATTATTGGGAGTCAGTATTTTCGAGGACGCATGCAACGTTGTTAGATTATAAGTTTTGTATGACTTACTTGTAAATGAAGTCATTTGACCCGGCCACCAGTGACCCGATGGGGCACGAAAGACCCTGGAAAGACAAGAACCAACCCTTACCAGATTTGCCTTTGTGACCACCAGCATGAATCACGGGGGTTCAGGAAGGCATTCCCCAGCCGTATAGAATGAAATAGAGAAAAAGAAATGCGGCCTAATTGGCAGTGAAGCTTACCATTTCATGGAAAGCTGTTCGCTTGATTAGAGGAATGATATTCAGGGCCCATACCAATTGCAGTTACATCACATTAACTTCATTCACTCATTTTTCGGGCAATAGAAGGGAATGCCCACGGTCAGGGAAAAGGGAGGTGCATGGTTTGCCTCCTGACATGGTCCTGCTTGGTACTGCTCAGCTGGCGTATGTTGTATAGTTGCTAGTTTACAGTGGTGCAACAAGCAAACGCAGCCCGCGTCACCCAGGTACTCGCCCTGCAGCTTTAAAATGGTCAGCCAGGCCTAGCTTTCGCTGACCAGACTGTAAAAAAAAAAATTATTGACTCAAAGCAAAACTAGTCAGTGAACTGTGCTCTCAGCAACCTAGGTCACTGCCGACTGTGTTTTAAAGTAGGTGCACTGGCCGCAAAAAAGGGCACCCGTGTCTCCAATGTGGTGATTGCATTCATATTCAAGCTTACACCGAGAAACCACATTTCAGTGAATGGCGGCCATTTATTGTAGCAAAACATGCGTTTACCTTTGAAATGCACATCATGACGGAGTCGCAGCCCTTCAGGAGATCCTTCGGCGGCAGGCCCAGGTACGCTGCCGCATTCATGATCCTCGCACCGTCCATGTGAAGCGGTATGTTGTGGCTCCTGGCAAAGCGGGCAGCCTGTGGAGCGAGCGAATCGCAATTCGAATCCGAGATCTACAGCTAGCGCACCACCAGTCAACAATCTCGGAGGTCGCCACCGCGGACACCTCAAAGTTCTGGCCCATACTCGACTTGAGAGTACACTCAGAACAAATCAAGGCCCGTCGGCGATTCACAAAAAGGACAGTGAACTGCGAAGGACACAGGGTGGAGACACAGCACCTTCACCCCAGCCCTTACTTATTCTTGATTTTTTTTGTTTGTTTGTTTGTCCCTTTTATCCTGGTGCAACCCACCAAGCATGGGGGGCCATGAAATGAGCGGTGTCTTGCTATTTAAAAGGAAATGTTCATAATTTCGAAATGTTAAGTTTTTAATAAATATGCTTGATAGTGATCATTTTTAACGGTAACCTTAGCATTCTATTCTTCTCGTCTCCCGAAGGAAATCGCAAACGGCTTCGCAAATGCTCCTGTGGCTAAAACCCAGCAAGGTAGCCCCAAAGGAAAGAAGAACCGGAAGGGATGAATTTAATCTCAACCTTCGAAGCGGTTCGTCTAGAAGTCTTTTTCCTCTGATTGGTGAATAATCTGCACGTTAGAAAGAAATGATCGAGAGATTCACACTCATTGCAATGGATGCATAAAGGTGACTGTACCAGACCAGACCAGTTTTTGTTCCGAATGCGACCACGTGACAAAAAGTGATCGTCGTCTTTATTCAATTCCGTTCTACCCGTCTTTGGCGACGTTATGTGGCGACGCGACTGGTATGACAAGGTTGCTTACATCTATATTTGTGAGCACGTGGAGGCAGAGGGAGAGGAACGCTCCCCTACTTCGCCATAAATTCTGCCTATACATCCACTTATTAGGCGGACAGGGTCGCTGCGAAAGCTGCGCGGCATCCTCCTCCACCACTTCCCCGCTCTTACTTCCTCACTGCACTTGCAGGACTAACCCCCGTATTCTAGAAAGTCCCTTCACTCAACGTTTCACCTTCACATGAGAAAGCCGATGGGAGCGCCGTCCCTAAGCACGGCAAGTCACTGCATATCAGCGATAATCTGCTGCGATCCTTGAGTAGTGCAGCGTCATTTTCAGCCGAGCGGTGGCGCAGTGCTCAACTCTGTCAAGTGAAAGGTGGAAGTCAAGTCGAGGAGCGTTTGTGAATATGGGGGTAAATTACATGACGGTGCCCCAGTGGACGCGTTGAGTTTTAAGCCCCTGATACATTGTGCATGGATGGCTTGCAGTGACGTCCATAGAACAACCATGTTTCAGTGGCCACGAAGTTTATGACGTAACGTTGATATATCCAGTACATCGCGTCATTTTCGTCTCTTGTTCGTGCGCAGATGCTATAAAAATGTTCCAGCGGCATCGTTATTTTACACTGGAGCCGGTTAATTCTGACCCTATTATGCCTCCTAGATGTCACCAACGCCATCGCATAGGAGAAACAGAAAGGGACCACTGACACCAAATTGAAACCTCGAGATCTTTGTGTCATTTGACTGTCCTGTACACGTGTGCACATCTGAGCGGTTGCTATAGCGGCGAACCTGCGGCCATTACGTCACATCCAAGCAACCAGTTGCGTAATGATCACGAAGTCTGCCCCCCCCCCCCCCCTTGCACCTGTTCCACGTAGTCGACGGAGAGCACGGTGCCTCCGCAGAAGTTGTGCGTGTTCTCGAGGCACAGCAGTGCAGTCCTGGGGCAGGGTATGTTGCGGTACCTGACACGCGACTCGAGGTCTTCGATGAGCAGTCGGCCGTCGCTCTGCGTCGGGACGGCCCAGCTGTGCACCGAGGCCACCTGCGCCGGGGAAATAGCGCGGCTCAACGTCTGTAACAGCACGCCACATTGCGCACGTGAATCTATCTACACTAATACTTGGACTGTCTTCGCAGACCACTTCTACAACTCCCGCGAGCTGCAGCCTGAGGATGGAAAAGTCCGCGTAACTTATTCAACATTTTGCCTTTCCATCATTGGCATAGTCAAAAAAGGGCAGGGGGGGGGGGGGTGATGCCAACATCTCCCTTTTCCCGAAAACAGCGTAAATATACACGAACGCATATAAACACGCGCCCAAACACGCATAAGGTGTGGTTGGCCCTGCCCCTTCCCCGCAAGAAAATGAGTGGTTAAATACGCTCCTGCTTTTAATAATTCAGTTCTTTTCTCGCACTCACGTTCGATTCCTGTGCACCACTCCACATGTGTGGGGCAGCGAATTGGACAGTCTAGTAAACAACTCTGCTTTTTCTCTTACTATCTATCTATCTATCTATCTATCTATCTATCTATCTATCTATCTATCTATCTATCTATCTATCTATCTATCTATCTATCTATCTATCTATCTATCCTTACCTACCTACCATTCTATCTATCTATCGAATCTATATGTCTGCTATCTATCTATTTATCTATCTATCGATAGATAGATAGAATGGTAGGTAGGTAAGGATAGATAGATAGATAGATAGATAGATAGATAGATAGATAGATAGATAGATAGATAGATAGATAGATAGATAGATAGATAGATAGATAGATAGATAGATAGATAGATAGATAGATAGATAGATAAATAGATAGATAGATAGATAGATAGATAGATAGATAGATAGATAGATAGATAGATAGATAGATAGATAGATAGATCTGTCTGTCTGTCTGTCTGTCTGTCCATCTACCTGACTGTCTTGAGGCCCGTGTGCTTAGATCAAAGTGCACGTGAAATAACCCCAGGTGGTCGAAATTTCCGGAGTCCCCCACTTTGGCGTCTTTCAATATCGCATGGTGGTTTCGGGACGTTAAACCCCCAAAAATTGTTAGGATTACGAGAAACAAATATGGCATGCGCTTCTTGAAAAGGTCACGTACCTGCGCCGTGCCCCCCTGCTCACAGAGGAAGATGTGGGACGCGTCGCCAACCAGGATCTCCTCTCCCCTCCTGTCGCTGTGGGCCATCACTGCATATTACGTAACGTACACATTGTCATCTTACGCCATCTCACGACTTAACCCGATAGCAACGACGTTTGAGTATTTATTTGAACAGAAGCTGTTTAAGATTTTCGTTTCGAGTGCGGTGTTCGCGGAAACTACGCGCGTGTGCACCACTGAAAGCCTGTATGTGCCAAGCAGCCCCTGAGCGTCTAGCCATCGATGCCTCGTGATAGTCAGTCGATAACCAATCAATAGCTAAGCGATCCTCCCCCAGAAGATAATACATTCGAGAAAAATGCTTGGATGTGCCAAGCATGGCCCATATACACGGGAAAAGTCTAGTGAAAACCAATGAATAACAAAGGTAGAAAAAAAATCAGATATAAAAGACGCTCTTTAGGCCTATTTCTTCTATATTTGTTATATCTTTAGCGGTACTTCGCAAGTTAAATATTGATGCATTGAAGCGCATTCGGAAACGTGCCGCCCGGTTTGTGACGGGTGATTTACGACTTCACCAGAAGGTCTAGCGAAATTGTTGGTTCACTTAGTTGGCCGTTACTCTCCTCAAGGCGTAAATATATCAGGGTATGTCTTTTCTACAACCTAATAAACGACAAAACTGGGATCGATAAAAACAAATAGATCAGACCACCAACATACATCTCATCCCGACAAGACCATCTTTTGAAAGTGCGTGAATATATGTGCCGAACATCAACGTATGCAAATACTTTTTTTTTTCCTGAAACTATTCACGAATGGGACAGTCTTCCAAAAAAACATTGTGACCGCCCCTTCCACAGCGTTTCCTTCCCTTTTAAAGGAGTATGTGGTCACACAATGATATTGTGTGCTGTGATTTAGGTATTTTTGATTTGTTTTTTTTGAGTGCCGTGCAATTCAACTTGTCCCCACTGATTTAAATGTACTTTGAATTTGTGAACCCCCCTACAACGATGCCCCCAGTGGGTGCTGTAGGGATAAGTATAAAAAATAAATAAAATATAGTGGACATTTGTAAGACGTCTCTCTCACCTGCTGCCAGGTTTCCCATGGTCCCCGTGGGCACGAACAGGGCAGCCTCCTTTCCCAGAAGCTCGGCCACCACTCGTTCGAGCTCTGGAAGAACGCCAAGAAAGCTAGGAGAGTGAGAACCAACTGTGATTGGGCAGAAAGAAACCCCGAATGGGGACGTAGGGTCCTACGTCCGCGGCTTGCAACTTGAAAGAGTTGCAAGCCAGAAAAGCAGAGACCAAACGACTGTAGGGACGATTAGCGACGACAAGCCATCCCTAGCCACTTGGTCTCTGCTTTCTTTTGTGTTGTCTTCTGTACTTCATCCGCACCCAAGGTGAAAACAATGGAGCGCAAGGGTGTGCGTATATTCACGCTGCCTAGGGGCTTGCGTACGCATAGTCTAACGCTCAAAGGCGCATAATATCTTTTTAACTTGTGTGCGAACGACAGAATGGGATTTTAAGGGATCGTTTCTTCGTTTGAAACAACCTTATCGAAACATGAAAGATATATGGAACCCCGGAAAGGCACAGGGCACGTTAGTGGTGTTGTTCAAACTTTATTGTAGTAATCAAGATGTGAACAAAGTAAACTAGACAACGAGACAACATTCTACCGGCAGGGAGCGCACCTGCAACCTTAGGATAAAGCGTCCAATGTTCAACCAATCGAGGTCACGCCGCCGTCCACTTTACAAGGTTATGGGGCAAGTAAACCTGAGATTACGAGTGTTGCACCTGGGCGGGGACACCGAAATGGTTCCATCATCGAAACGGCAGGGTGTCGATCTTGGTGGTTTCCGTGCACTCAACCACACCTTAAACGTACACGCTGCAGCGTCATGCCCACTGTCAAGCACACAGCCTCTCATTGTCTCTGCCCGTTTAGACAGAACCGATGAAGCGCGCCATGTGAGAACATCTGCACCAAGGAGGTTTAAATTATCTTCATCTGCACCACCACGAAGAACCAAGATGGCGGCGGACGCCGCTAGCGCCTCACACGGACGAACGACGTCCCTTGCAACCCTCCTGTATTCAACTGGTAGAGAGAGCATTGGGGTAATGGCAGCGGGAATGTTATCCGAAAGTTGCAGATTCGGTCCCTGCCGGCAGCGAGCTATCTAATTCGCTTAGTTTACTCTATTCGTATTGATATCAATGTCTGAAAATAAAACACGCATGAGCCATACGCGTGGAAGTCTGTATCTAAGGTCACATTTGAATAGCCCGCGATTTTCAGCCCGTGACCATGAAGCGACAAATAGATGCCGAAACAAGTGAAACAACACGCGCACAAAACATTTTGTAAGAGTTAGTTTTTTAATTGTATAAATACTTCAACTGAAGTAAGCTCCGGCCTACTTTTGCAATCAGCAATCGCGTCCTTTGGTTAACGAGAAACAGATCTCGGAGGTCACCTCTGCATGAGGCCGAATATTGTGGAAACCAAGGAGGTTAAACCTGCTCATTAGAAACCTGATGGAAACCGGCCTTATTGACGTCCAGTTCTCGGACAATGCTTGTGGCTGAAGTAATAGAGTGACATTTAGTTTCCTTAGGTTCAAGGCCCAGTCTCTTCGCAGTACACAATACTGGCTATTCATACCGAGAAATTCGCGTGCAGTCGCAACATGGCCTCCGAACTTGTACAAATCTCGGAGGTCCGGTGCCTAGGCTGAAGATTTTCTGTCTTGGCACAACGAGTAGGTGGCGCTTTGTAGTAGACACTAACCGCGCATGCGCGCCAGTACAAAAATAACAAAGAGCCTACGCGATCTCTTTCCCTCTTTTCCGTTAACGTGGCTGTCTGCTGCTCTCGCTCCTCAGCTCACGCCGGTCAGAGGCTCCGAAACATGTCTCGTAGGCTTTTTTTCAGCCGTTATTCGGCGTTTACGTTGCCTTCACTTCTCCGTTAGCTTCTCTGTCTCTTGACAAGAAAGCCTCTCTAAACAGAGACAGCATAAGTGCATCGCATGCACGGTAGTTCAAATGCAAACGTACCGTTGACGGTGGGGTCTTCCTTGAAGACGTCGTCGCCGACCTCGGCGTCCCGCATGGCCTGTCGCATCTCGGGCGTCGGCTTGGTCAGCGTGTCCGATCGGAGGTCCACAACGCGCGGTTTATCCATCCTGTACGTTTCAGTTAAAACGCTCGCTGCAAGGTTCTCTTCGGTGCGCACCGTTTCGTCAGTGCAGTGGCGTGACCTGCTGAGGGCGCGCGTGCATATGTAAAAGCAACAGCAGTAACGCGAGAACACTAGTTGGCGAGCGTCAAGCTGGACAGTTGTTTCGGGCGCGTGTTCAATGGACCTTGAATGCGGTGGCAGTCTCGGAAGCGTTTGTGTTTTGAACTTTCGTCGTCGTGTGGCGCTGCAAATTCGAGCGGTGGGCCAACGCGGCAAATTTGAACAATCATATTCGGCTTGCTGTTTTGAAACTCATTGTGAAAAAGCAGCACTTGTCTTCATTGTGCTGCCTCTCATCTGAGTTGGTACGGATGACTCGCGCGAACACTTCAGAATTATAGTTTAAGTGCTTTGACGTGTCTCGTGCTCGGCATCGCGTGCAAACCAACTCAGCTGAGTTTGCTGTGAAGCATTGCCTAAGTTCCACCAGAGTTTCTGTATATACAGCGTATGCAGTAACTCTTAGATTCAACTATCAGTGGCTCCCTCCATTTCTCACCCCCCCCCCCCCCCCCAAAAAAAAAAAAAATATGCGAGCGATTCAGTGTCGTGTGGATTAGTTATTTTCTCTACTTTTGTCCATTTGGTACATTTTCATCACTGACCTCCATGTTGTGATCGCAAAGCGCCACACTGCCAATTATTTTTTTTCTTCGCACATTTAGCGAAAAATCGTAAATGTTCGTCTAACTGCTGTCTTCTAGCCTTAGAAAACGGAAGGAAACCGCTCAAGCCGCTCCACAACCACAAGACGCCTGAGCAACCGAACCAGCTTGTCCGAACAGTTTGTGGCCTTCTCAGCCTCCGAGTTGAAAATTACTGTTAAACTGGGGTCAGTCATTCGCAAAGCGCTTTCGCTACTTGCACGAAGGAATGAAAGCAATTTAAAAAAAAAACATAGTTTTACCTTGCAGTTCGTCTACGGCTTTTATTTTACACTGTTCATCGTTTGGGATGCCAAATGCGAGTTTTGTTGCACAGGCTTTTCATCAACTTGAATTATATATTAGCGTTATGCTCTGAAGTTGACTCTGCTGTGAATTAGCGCCCGTCTTGGTCCTATATTGTCATTCGGTTGTGGTCCCGTGTTGTGCGCTGGATGCTGAATTGATTTCTAGAGCGTGATTTGTTCGTTTTCCATATGACAATGACAGTGATTACTTTCTCATCAATCCAGCGTAATGACACGAAAAGGCGACAATACGGCCATTTTGACAGTTCCAGTAAGAGCAGGCCTACACAGCAGATGTATTGTACAATGCATATAGGGGGAGATGCATAGGCCTGCGAAGGGTTCTTGTTCCGGGGGAGGGGGGGGGTCGAAGGTTGATTGCAGGAGCGCCTCCTTCCCTATATTAAGTCAATGCACGGGGCAGATTTTGCGCCTTCCACCTCTGAGGTGACTGGGAGGGCACCCCGCCACGTAGTCAATGTATGGAGCTGATTCCGCCCCCCCCCCCATCTTGTCGGGGGGGGGGGGGGGCGCCCTTTTTGCCCTCATCGTGGGCACACCTCTAAATGGGGATATGTACAAGATTCGGTTAGTGCATAAGCATTGTCTGACTACTTTTGAATCATATTCGTCTGTTTGTGAGGTGATGGCTCTAAATAATAATACACAGGACTTCCTAGGAAGTACGGGGAGTACACTTCGTGGAATTTACTATACAACTCGAGCCGATAACTTACCAAATGTGCCAGGGCCAGAACACCCGTACTTTTGATCACTTGTACTGTACTGAACTCGTGACGAACAGTGTTTACAGAACTGTAACCCTGACCTTGCCCATGTGTAAAATAAGGAAACCCTCAACCTTCGGAGTATGCCTGTTGCAACTATATATAACCTCCGACTTTTCAAGTGCTTGCAGTATTGAACATTCGGCTGTCTAAGTAAAGCCTGTTACTTATAATAACAGGTTTTACTTAGACAAGGTATTATTATTATTATTATTATTATTATTATTATTACTATTATTATTATTATTATTATTATTATTATTATTATTATTATTATTATTATTATTATTATTATTATTATTATTATTATTATTAAAATGTCTTGCAACCTAGGCGCAAATCTTTCCAATGGCCCAGAGTTTCTAAACCTTGACCCGCAATGTGTAAAGAAACTTCAACCTGAAATCTTCCCAGTGTGAAGTGTATCAAATCCTCGACATCCGACGGGCCCGTTGTGCTACCCCCCCACTGGGAAGATCCATTGAAGGACGTCGACTTAATAATTGCGCGCAGCCAGGTAAGCGCTTCGAGGCAATCGGTCAATGAAAAATTCATTTATAATCAATCTTTATGTCATTTTAGTCCTTAATTGGCCATCGATGACGAAAATGGGCAAAGTACTGTTCCCAGCAAATTTTGTTCATATTCCGTGACCTCTGAATATAGCCAGAGTTGGGCTATATAAGGCATTGAAGGGACTCCAAAACGGCTTTTCTTTTTTCAAATTTTGTTTTTGTCTATAGGTTTCAGCATCGACAAATTATTCGCACCATGAATCTAGTGACGCGCCTTGTATCAAGGCAGCTATAGACAATTGTTCGTTACCCTACTTCTGAGTAATGCGCAGCTGTCACTGGCTGTGGCAGCCCTCTCAGCCGGTCGAGTTGTTGACTAGTGTTTATTTAAAAAGGTGTTTGCAACATCTTTCGCAGTCATTCCGGTTTTCGTAGTGGTATCCCTTGCAGAGGCGCTGTGGATGTGGATAGCACCTGCGGCCAACTCCCGGAAAGTAATGTAACCTGGTGAGCCTTGTGGGTTGTGTCCCAGGGATCATTTTGCAGTCTGGCTTTCGTGGCTTCGCGCATGACTTCCGACACGTCGCGCCAGCTCCTTGCGCAGGTCGCAACACTGCTGCAAACGGAACAATGTCTTGCTGTTAGGTCAGAGTGACGTGCACGGAAGAGCGCGCTTAGCAGCCCTTTGTTCGACGAGAGTACAAACCGGTACACATCTGCGACACTCGATCACCGTAAAACTATCCAGAATGGTAATGTATGCTAACCTCCCACGCACTTAAGCGGGAGTCCGGAAGCGTCAGTTATGCAGCGTAGCATAATGGAGTTTCTTTTTCGTGCCCAGAATAGCAAGCGGTCGGAAATCCATCACATGGAGACGGGGATCAAACAAATACATAGGGCAAAGGACTATATCACGCACGTGGGAAAAATTGTTCCGGAAAAGACCAGCATTTCTGTCGCGCGGGACTAGACTTCGTCGGAATAACGTTTCGGCATGGTACCACGGCCGAAACGTTAGTTCATTCTGTCCAGATGCACAATCCAGATTCGCAAATCAACCATGTTAGTTTTCATGTTATGACACATAAATTGACTGCAAGCTGCCACTGCTGTCTTAGCACGGAGTGCGCTGCCTCTGCCGTAATATGCCTGCGCCAAGAAAAGGTTATACGGGGGGGTATGTCGCACTGTCATTTACACGTTTGCAAAAAAAAATCACAGCAAGCGTTCCAACGGACACATTATAACCATATGCATACATACTCGTATAGACTTGAAGTCTTTTCGATATCCGTAGCGTTGACTGGTAGTACCATATACATGTGTAGCGTGGCAATTCAATGATGATGATGATTATACCCGGTAGATTGGCACATACCTCTCAGGGCGACCGGCCGACAGCGCTCAAAAAAAAAAAAAAGACATGAGCAAGACGTTCCGAGCGCTCCCATCGTCTTTCCGCGACGAAACTGTGTTAGTCTATGTCCAGTGTCGTCGTAGTTGTAACGGTCAACGTCTTCATAAAACATTTAGTGAGTATGCGCCATTGGCTGAACCAACTAGTGACGTCATCTCGTTTTCACCAGTCTGATGCAAGCAAGCGCATTTCAGTTCTAGCGGCGGATTCATGACGCTATAGAGGACCTTGCTAGCTAATCTTAAGGACTCACGCCCAAGAACGTCATGTGACGCAGCTGTTTTGAGCTAGCCAATCGGTGACCAAGCTGCAGCGGAGCACCGGCGATTCCGGGATACGAACTAGCGAAGCCAAGGCAGTACGGCAACCAAGTGCTGCCACTGCTACTGAGGGCAGCAAGGGTCGCTGCGAGGAAGGCCGTTAGGGGGATCGTGTGCACGGACGGTATCGCTGTATGATTACCTTCACAGAGTAAATGAGCCGTTGAATTTAGTGAAGTCTTTCTTTGGGTTCCTGAACGCGGAGAAGTCGTGGTCTATCTATCTATCTATCTATCTATCTATCTATCTATCTATCTATCTATCTATCTATCTATCTATCTATCTATCTATCTATCTATCTATCTATCTATCTATCTATCTATCTGTCTGTCTGTCTGTCTGTCTGTCTGTCTGTCTGTCTGTCTGTCTGTCCGCCCATCTGTCTGTCTGTTGATTTGTCTGTCTGTCTGTCTACCTGTCTGTCTGTCTGTCTGTCTGTCTGTCTGTCTGTCTGTCTGTCTATCCGCCCATCTGTCTGTCTGTCTGTCTGTCTGTCTGTCTGTCTGTCTGTCTGTCTATCCGCCCATCTGTCTGTCTGTTGATTTGTCTGTCTGTCTGTCTGTCTGTCTGTCTGTCTGTCTGTCTGTCTGTCTGTCTGTCTGTCTATCCGCCCATCTGTCTGTCTGTTGATTTGTCTGTCTGTCTGTCTGTCTGTCCGCCCATCTGTCTGTCTGTCTGTCTGTCTGTCTGTCTGTCTGTCTGTCTGTCTGTCTGTCTGTCTGTCTGTCTGTCCGCCCATCTGTCTGTCTGTCTGTCTGTCTGTCCGCCCATCTGTCTGTCTGTCTGTCTGCCTGTCTATCCACCCATCTGTCTGTCTGTCTGTCTGTCTGTCTGTCTGTCTGTCTGTCCGCCCATCTGTCTGTCTGTCTGTCTGTCTACCTGTCTGTCTGTCTGTCTGTCTGTCTGTCTGTCTGTCTGTCTGTCTGTCTGTCTGTCTGTTTATCCGCCCATCTGTCTGTCTGTCTGTCTGTCTGTCTGTCTGTCTGTCTGTCTGTCCGTCTGTCTGTCTGTCTGTCTGTCTGTCTGTCTGTCTGTCTGTCTGTCTGTCTGTCTGTCTGTCTGTCTGTCTATCCGCCCATCTGTCTGTCTGTCTATCCGCCCATCAGTCTGTCTGTCTGTCTGTCTGTCTATCCGCCCATCTGTCTGTCTGTCTGTCTGTCTGTCTGTCTGTCTGTCTGTCTGTCTGTCTGTCTGTCTGTCTGTCTGTCTGTCTGTCTGTCTGTCTGTCTGTCTGTCTATTTGTCTATCCGCCCACCTGTCTGTCTGTCAATATGCCTGCCTGCCTGCCTGCCTGCTACCCGGCCAAAGCTTACGCACATGCTGAACGCCCAGCCATTTTGAACTAGTGGCTGGTTCATACTTGTGAACATTGTTGATCAAAACGCATATGCTACATGCATCAGAGAGGCAACATAAATGCGTAAGTATTAAGTCGTGATTTCATTTTGGGTAGCATTCGTTATTATTTTTTTCGCGTCATAACTCAACCTCTCCACAGAGAAACGGTTAGAACAGAACAGGTGTTGTGTCGTTTACCAGAAAATACATAGGCACGTGATTGTAAAGACTCTATACAGTTTGTGGGGCAGCGCTGAAAATGCGATGCTATGTACGAAAGAAGGCCAGCAGAGGACCAGCCCTATCGACGACATTTGCAGCGAAGCACCTGAATACATGGCCAATGTTTAACATCTGATCAGTGCTTTCTCATTAGAGTAATGGTTCAAGCTAAAAAACCGCCTTTTAGAATTTATATATTGTAACGGGGAGTATTTAACGAGTCAACGCCGGTTGGGCTAACACTGCACACAGTGTGGAAGGATGCAGGACAACAGGGCAGTCCAGACACCGCCCCACAACAACATCGTCGTCTTCATCCCTTCTGCGTCATTTCTATACACCCGTGCCTATAGGGTACATTTTTATACCCGTGACAATATGAAATCATCTGGATGAGGAACATTTGTAAGCATTGGAGCCGAAGAAAAATTTTTACCTTTATGGACGGATGGCACGCTAGATGTATTTGCCGTTGGCCTCGGCGGCCAACGGCAAATGCAGTGCGAAAAATAAACGAAAGAAAACAATGTGATGTAAAAGAGATCTTTCTTGCGTCTAACGCGAAGTAAGAATGCCAGAGCTTAGGACCTCTTGACCTTTATCAATTTTTTCCTGATAGGTAGAATAAATTGGAGAGACGTACGTATTTTACTCTTCTATGGCTCTTGTACAATGTGCATCCAAAGACATGCATCCTCCTTTTCACGTACGATTTCTTTTAGCTTTGGAAAGTGATCTTCGTTTTGGCTTACTCATGAAACGTTTGCCCTGCCGTGGTGGTCTAGTGGCTAAGGCACTCGGGTGCTGACCCGCAGGTCGCGGGATCGAATCCCGGCTGCGGCGGCTGAATTTCCGATGGAGGAGGAAATGTTGTAGGCCCGTGTGCTGCGATTTGGGCGCACGTTAAAGAACCCCAGGTGGTCTGAATTTCCGGATCCCTCCACCACGGCATCTCTCATAATCATATGGTGGTTTTGGCACGTTAAACCACACATATCAATCAATACTCACGAAACGTTTGCAAGCTTTAGTGGGAAAACGTCCAGCCCCCTCAGCCTCCCGAAAAGAAAAGTAAAAATAGCGTACCACTGATCACGAATCCACATACGATAAGAGGGGCAAGTCTCATTTCCGAACTTGAAAAGCTGCATCAATCGATGTATACTTTGTTGAAGGCGCACCACTTCTATTTGTCGTATTTGGCGCAATGGATATATATAGTCACCAAGAGGACCAGGTGTGCATCTGAGCTTTCTGGAATTCTAACGCAACGTTCGTGATTGATGCGAATGAAAGAAGGGTAAGAGACCAAGAGCGCACTTCCTTTGTTAGGCGAAGCCTAACGAAAACGTTATGCATGCACTCAGGCCAAGAAAGGTATAGGTAATGTTATTTGTGGGCTTTTTAACGTAGCTGTAATGACACGTGTAGTGATTGATATATCGATTCAAATCGTTTCCGGTATGTCATAGGGTTACCTTAATCTTTTCACTTAACGATGACATGACCAAGCTGTGCACACTAGCTCGGCGACGATGTTCTAATGTCAAGGGAACCAGAAGTGAGGGGACCACTTTGTATGAATTTTGTGCATCAGTTAATATACCGGACAGTCCACGACACGATAAATCTGATTCGTTCTTGCGAGGTGCGAAGTTTTCGTGAAAATGCGTGGAAACTCGCGCGTTCGATTGTAGCCCCCAGAGTACGCATATCAGCTTTGCGAGATTTGCTGAAGCCACGTTGGATATAGTTGAACGTTATCATATGACCTTTGCAGTTGAAACTCCCCTTGGTTAACGTGCGTAATAGCATTCTTCAGCGCTTTTGTAGTGTATGAATCCCGTAGCATTCATTGTACGCGGAAAGTAGCGCAGGCTCGCGATTTGCTCCTGCAAACCTTGGCCAACGCTGCGCCGCTTTGATTTTTACGTTCGCCGATAGATGACAGCACACTGCGAGAGATTCGTTTCTTCCCGGGTGTCCGCGCCCAGATAAACGTGAAGAGTGACGTGTTGTTAATGTTATCGAAGAGACGTTCGGCGGAGAGAATTCCTCAGAATACTTTCAGCAGTGGTGTTCAAAGAAGCCGTCTTGACGTCAAGGATTTTTCAGTATAACGCACACAGACTGACAGCGACGATGAATGATCAGCTGCTAACTCACGAGCAGCGAGTTGCACTTCACGTCCCCATCGTGCGCCAATGTTTTTTTCATGCTCGTAAGTCACTTTTGACTGTACCTATTGTATAATATCCTTCAGTGAACTTAAAATAAAAAGCACAATTTTCTTGTGCATTGCATGTAGTCCAATTACAGTGGTTATCACGGAGCGCCGAATGCCGTCAAAACACTCAAGCTCGCCCACGCGGCGTAGTGGGTGAGTGAGAACTCATTAGAAGGCAGAGAGGTCGGCCTGAGCTAGATCACTCTAGCCTGCTACTCTACACAGGGGATAACGGAAGGAGAAAGGAAGGAGGGATGAAGGACGGTGATGGGGACAAAAGGTGGTACGTATGTACAGTAGCCACTATGGTGCGTATGTACAGTAGCGCATGTACAGTAGCATAGTACCCTACAGTCTAGAATCTATAGTCCAGTGCTTTTGATAAAGTCTAAAACAGCCTTTCTAGCAGTTTTTGACACTGTTCGGTCGTTCATTGCTGCCAATATGTGGCTTTCACTCAATGGCGTTCGTCCGATGCTGACCATCGTCCATGCAGCGTAGCGAAATGGTTAGAGCAATGAAACGTGCAGTTACGACTACACAGCCCACGCTTTTGATGATGATATCTGGGGTTTAGCGTCCCAAAACCACCATATTGCCGCAGAGACTGCCTTCTACCAGGAGAACCAGCGCGACGCTATGCAAGCGTCTACAACTACCAGGAGAACCAGCGAGACGCTATGCAAGCGTCTACAACGTAGCGCACCTGCGCGCGCTGTAGCAACGCGAGTCATTGCTCCTCGTGCTTGGGCTCGCGACGGTGGCCTGATCGACGGGTTGTGAAAAAAGGTGTTCGAGAGAGACGCTAGTGTGGAACGCTTTAGCGGACTCAGTTATTTACCTATTTTTCTGGGCACAAGTTCGCCCTTTAATAAAGCTATTGTTTGTGTCACCCTCTTGCAATACGTGACATTCTGGTGGAGGTGCGGGGGTATGATTGGAAGTCCCTCAGGCGCAAGAGAGCGGAGCCCCGACCCTCAACGACTGGAACCTGGCGAATTGACTCCTGTACACCAGCGTTCGAGCCGTCGTCTTCGAGGAGACCCGCCTGAATTCGGACCGCTCACCACTGCTCCAGCAACGCAAGCAGCTTTTACAAACGACCCCACAACGATGGCCACCGCAGGTTCTACATCCGAGCTCATCGTGTCACCACCGTGCCTGCCTGAGCCCTTCCACGGTGACTCGCACGAAGATGTAGAAGACTGGCTGGAACATTTCGAGCGAGTCGCAAGGACCAATGCCTGGGATGAGACAAGGAAACTTGGACGCGTGTACTTTGCGTTGCAGGATTCAGCGAAGGTGTGGTTCGAAAATCACGAAGCGGTGATAACAACATGGGAAGATTTTCGACAACACTTGCTCGCTGCGTATGCCAGCACCGACCGCCGAGAGAAGGCAGAGAACGCTCTCCAGTCCAGGAGTCAACGCACGAATGAGAGTGTCAGCATGTATGTCGAAGACATGTGCCGGCTCTTCAAACGCGCTGATCCGAACATGACGGAAGAGAAGAAACTGCGCCACCTAATGCGTGGAGTCAAGCAGGACTTGTTTGCTGGGTTAGTTCGCAATCCACCACGCACGGTTGCCGAGTTCCGCACCGAAGCAACAACCATAGAGAAGGCGCTACAGCAGCGTGCCCGTCATTACAACCGAGACGCCAGTAGCGCACCAGTGGACGTCCTATCGGCAGGCCAAAGTAACAACAGTGAAACGCTAAGAGAACTGGTGCGATCCATTGTAAGGGAAGAGATTCAGAAGTTGATGCAGCCACAAGTGATGCCAACAGTCTCGACCCTCGCCGCCGTCATTCGTGACGAAGTCCGGCACGCCATCCTTCAGCCGGAACCTGAGCCGCAACCTGTTCGACTGGAACAACCACTGCAGACACGTCGCATGCCAACGTACGCGGACGCTCTACGCCAGCCTGCCGTGCACAATGCTTCTTTCGTAGCCCCCAGTACACGCCCGTCGGCTTCGCATGGCTCGCCCTTTCTCGGAGAGCTGAGACCACGAAAAAGCGACGTGTGGCGCACACCCGACTGGACGCCGCTTTGCTTTCATTGCGGAGAGGCTGGACATCTTTACAGAACGTGCCCATACCGGAGGGCCGGCCTGCGGGGGTTTTCTGTGAACGCACCATGCCCGCGTAATGGTGAAAGACCCATGGAGATAGAAGATTACCTGTCAAGGCAGCAACTCCCATCTGCTAGTTTTCAGCACCAGCCAAGGTCACCGGCGCCGAAACGTTACCGATCACCGAGCCCCCGGCGTCCAAGTTCCCCATTCTCAGGTCCACCAAGACGTTCAACGAGCCCGCGGCAGGAAAACTAAGTCCAGCGACCTGTGGAGGCAAGGCCGCTGTTGTTCGACAAGGCGAAGATCCTCCGTCAAGACCCGAGGGTAGCAGCGACAGGCAGAAAAGAACGGCTAAGATAAGTAAGGAATCAATTTCTTCGGACTTGCGCGTTACGGTGGACGAGCGGGAATTGAGCGTTTTAGTCGATACCGGTGCGGATTATTCAGTCGTCAGCTACGCGTTCGCGAGGGATCTCAAGAAAGTTTTGACGCCGTGGAGTGGTCCACAAATAAGAACGGCTGGGGACCACAGGATAACACCAGTGGGAAGATGTACCGCGAGAATAGGAATTCAGGGTGCTACTTACGTGGCTGAGTTTATTGTGCTTCCGGAATGCTCAAGGGACGTAATTCTCGGGATGGATTTCTTGCTAGCGAACGGTGCCATAATCAACCTACAAAATTCTAGCGTTTCCTTCTCGACGAAGCTGGCCATAGACGAGAAGGAGGTAGAGAGCACTGCATTGCGGGTTATCGACGAAGACATAACCGTGCCACCACGATGCAGCGTGCTGGTTGGCGTCAGAAATGACACATTTGCCGATTCCGAAGGCATAGCGGATAGCAACGTCGAGCTGCTACTAAAGAAAGGTATTTGTGTAGCCCGGGGCATCATTCAATTACGTGATGGGTGCGCCAGTGTGTTGCTCACAAACTTCGGAAATGCAATATAGCATGTTGCAAAAGACACTGCCATTGCCTTTCTGCACAGCTTTACTGCAGCGACAGATTTGTGTGGCCTCACGTCAGCACCACCTGCTTCGGGAAGTACGGATGATGTCGGAGCTGCGGTTTCAATAAATAGAAGTCTATCATCAGGCGAAAGGCAAATCATACAGGACCTCATAAGAGACTTCTCAGAGTGTTTCTCCACCTCGTCAAAAGTACGTCGCACGCAGATCGTTAAACACCGAATAATAACTGACGAGCAAACAAGACCTGTTCATCAAAACCCGTACAGAGTTTCACCCAAAGAACGAGAGGTCATAAAGGGTCAAGTGCAAGAGATGCTGGAGGATGATGTCATCCAACCATCCAACAGTCCGTGGGCATCGCCAGTAGTGCTTGTGAGGAAAAAGGACAACACGTTGAGATTCTGCGTTGACTACCGGAAACTGAACAGCGTGACCAAGCGCGACGTATACCCCTTGCCACGTATCGATGATACATTAGATCGCCTACGGCATGCCAGATATTTCTCGTCATTAGATTTAAAAAGCGGGTATTGGCAAATTGAAGTGGATGAAAGAGACCGCGAAAAGACGGCTTTCGTAACTATATGATTATGAGAGACGCCGTAGTGGAGGGCTCCGGAAATTTAGACCACCTGGGGTTCTTTAACGTGCGCCCAAATCTGAGTACACGGGCCTACAACATTTCCGCCCCCATCAGAAATGCAGCCGCAGCAGCCGGGATTCGATCCCGCGACCTGCGGGTCAGCAGCCGAGTACCTTAGCCACTAGACCACCGCGGCGGGGCAGCCCACGCTTTTCTGCTGTTCTCCTACACTTCACCCGTACCGCCAGGACGACGTTGTTGTTCGACGAATTTTCACAATTTCGACGTTGCGAAAAGCGTAAGCGTGCGTAT